AAAAAAAAAAAAAAGAAGGAATCTATGTCCAAGGAAAATACGATCTTACTGATGTGCCTTGTTCAACATTTGGGCAGCAAATTCTGAATAGTACAAAGACTGAATCTGTTCATAAAATTTTTTGGGGGGAAAAGTAAACTTCTCAAAGATATGCCCTCAGTTTTTAAATGAAGGAACAAAAGTTTAGGTGTGTTTTGAACTTTAACAGAAAGCAATTACCTTCATCGTCCAGTAAATTCTGAGCTGACTCGTGGGGCCTTTCAACTTCTGGTTCCCAGCTTTTCCGAAATATGACGTTTTTAAATGCACTTCTTAATGGTAGGTCATCAGAACCAGTCTGAAATTAGAGTACAATATGAAAATAAATTTATATAGACATAACTTAAGAAACTATATTCAATGTTCGAACATCTTTGACAGTATAAATATTAAACATTCAAAATAATGTAAATATTACAAGAAAAAAGGCCAATTCAAGAACACAGATTATAAGCTACCTTATAAGTTAATCTTTCTTCATACATTTCATTTCCAACAGGGAAGAAAATCCAATAAATATTAAAAACTAGCAAAGAAGCAAGCAAACAGCAAAATACAAATAACTTTCATATGTTGAGATAGCTAAAGACGAGCAAAAAAGAAAAAGCAACCTGCCAAAGATCGTGAAGCTCCACCAACTGCCCGCTCTGAACACCGTTAGGCAGCAACAATTTTCTTTTATTTCCAGCCTCCCATCTCAGCACGTTTCTATCGTCATCCACCACATAGTAACTGTACTCACTGTTAAACCCAACCGGGATAGAAAGACTGCCAGACCATATAAGCTCATCCCCTTTGTGAGAAGGCCTCAATAAAAGGCCCTTTTTAACATTCCATGCACCGAGTACAGACTCAGAGCCACACACCAATAGGTGCTGGCCCCATTGGGTATAATAAGGTATTTTGAAGCATACAATCACCGCTTTCGATGTCTTGCTCGTAGAAAACAACCCCAGGTTCGCCATTCTTTTACCGGGAGGCGAATCGGATATCAAGATAACTGGAAATTAGCAAAACCCACAAACTAAAAGTTACAATTTTCCATGTCAAAAGGTTCAGTTCAACCAAAACGTATGTAAAATAGCAAGAACAACGGTTTCTTCTAGCTTATCGAACACAACACTGTCATAATCAGATAAATTAAAGGGGGAAATCAAGAAAGGCAGAACCTTGACACAAAGTTCGGGAGTAACATCACATTGTAATAATTAAGGAACAAGAAAAATGAAGTGCACCGCATCTAAGCAAGTATAATACGTGACTATAACAAAAATCGAAATACATTGAATCTGTTCATAAAAGATGTCACCTTTATCTGATGCTGAAGCTTACTGAGCGAAGAAGAAGAGTATTGTGGGTGATGGATCAGAAAATCTGAATAAAGGGCTTCTTTTCTTTGTCTTCTAAATAGTGTTTAAAGAATTGTTTTTTTTTTTTTTTTATTATTGTAGTCAACCACATTCTGAAGATATCTATGTATTTTGGGTTAATTTAAAAAAATGAGAGATATTTTGCCATGTGAGGAGCTGAAATTGAAGCAAAAGGGAGCTTGGAATGCCATTATTGTGCTCTTTCCACAGCACATAAAGTTGAAAATGATAGGTGGGCCTCTCTCATTCACACAAGCGTATTGTGCACCCGTAATATTTCATGATGATATTTGTTTTTTTGTTTTTTTAGCTCATTGTCTCAACTCTCAAGTCTGATTAAATTTCAACATTGTATATTTTCTAGTGAAATTGGAAAAATAAGTATGTTTTTATCTAATATGGAGTGATAGAGAGAAATAATATACATTTATTAGGCTACACGTGGCTGACATAATAAAGACACATGTATCTCGAGGAACATTAGTGTCCATGGCTACACGTGGCTGACATAATAAAGACACATGTATCCCGAGGAACATTAGTGTCCATGGTCAAGAAGGTTGAGGCTCAACTTCAATTTAGCTATGATGTGAAATTAAAAGAAAAGAAACGAGATGATCGTCGAACCGAGCTTTTCACTAACAAAAAACAAGGTTAATTGTGTGAAATTATGATCTCCTGCCCACGGTGGGCAGTGTCCACCACTTTGTTTTATATGAAAAACGTATTCTCAATTAATTTAATTGTAAAATGTATTCTCAGAATACGTTTTTCATATAATACAAAGTGGTGGGCACTCTCCACCGTTGGCAGGTAAGCGGGACTATAATTGTGTGTGCGCCAAACGGGCTTGTTGCTTGTTTCTAGTATTTAAACTTTGTGTTTTATTTGTATTTTCCTCACTGGCGTTTGCGCTATGCACTTGTGTTTCATTTGTGTTGTTGCCTTTTTGGAATATATTTGATGTTTTTAGTCTTTGGAACATAAATATACACTTGCATCATCTATGATATTGTTTTTTCTACATTTTGCTGGCAAGCGTAGCCGACGCCAGGACCAATCGCCTCGCCATTCGCTATTTAAAACCATGTGACAAGTAATTCCATAGATATTGCTATGTTTACATAATGCAAAGATACTTATTTTATACTACCTCATATTTTTAATATACGTCGTTTTGAGAAGTTGCACACTAATTAAGAATATTTTTTTGGTCAATAATAACCTTATTTAATGAAGATAGGGATGAATGTTTTGAGAAAAAATGGAGAATGAATATGAAAAGACGTAATGTATTATTGGTTAAATGAGGGTAATAATGGAAAAATATGTACAAAAGATCCAAAACGACATTTATTTGGCAAATAGTTGAAAAGGCTATAATGACATTAAAAAAAATAGGAGGGAGTAGATGAGAATGAGATACAAAAGAAAAACAGTTAGTTGGTTTTTTTCTTGCAAAGCCATAAATATTTGCTATATTTTCGCTGACCACCATATTTTGTGGATTTAACAGACAGCTGAAGCATAACGGAAATCTCGACTTCAAATAATTGTCTCTTCAATGGAAGACTGGTTTCTCATATTATATGTGATCTCGTCTGAGCTAAGTTTAACGATGATAGGATTGAGCTTCTTTCAACATCATGCGTACATTTGTTGAATTTTCTTTTGGGAGTGTAATGGTGCTTATGACATCTTACCGAAGAACTACAAACTCATCATTTGTTTGATTTACTACTTTTTATTCTTGTTCCTTTGGTTGAACTCTTGTTGTATTATGTGATTGTTTGGTATAATCTTATGGAACCTAGGTCAATATTCAAAACAAAGTAACAGCCTTTAAAGCCAAACTTAAAAAAAGTTCTAACATTTATTGCACTCCATTGCTGAGTCTATAATTGCTTGCTCGGGTTTCTGTTATATTTTAGAACACTCATAGATTCCGCTACCAAATTAAGAGATAAGCATCTTAATTTGTCCAGAGTGTTGGGGCAGCGAGGAAAGAGAGGAAAAAGGCACCAAAAAACGTAATTACACACAAAAACATGAACTCGAAGGCAATCACAAGTTTTCACTGCTTTCCTTTTCTGCAGATTTTGTAAACTTTTTGAGTCGCAATAATGCGCTCCCAAAGCATCATATCTCAATCAACCAAAATGATGATGCTAGTCAAAGTACACTAAGACAATGCTAAAAGTTCGACAAAGAAGGTGACAGGTAGCTACACAAGTTGCCTTTCAGAAAAAAAAAAAAAAAAAAAAAAAAAAAAAAAAAGAGAAACATCGACAGACAATATTCCGCTATGCAATTTTAAGAGAACTGCACAGCAGTACAAAACTCAGTCGTCACAAACAATAATCTGCTGCTCAAATTTTCAGCACCAATGCAACCCTGGGATCAAAAGGGTACAATACACTGCAAAACAAAGATAAATAAAAGAGTCGAGGACTTGAAACTAATGCCAATAACTGGTTTTCATGATAATCAGCTGGAAAATGAAATATTTTACTCCAGGCTTCCATGCTGAAAATTCAACTAACAAACACAAATACACATTAAAAAAAAGTGTAAATAGTGCAAAAACAGTGCTTTTTTCACAGCATCAAAATCCATACAGGTGTGTTCCCTTAGCAGGCCTACTAAACCCATAACATTATAAAAGCCCTATAGTTTAGAGAAAAGGGCATCCACAATGTGGAATCCAATTATTCATGTCAGTTAAAACAGCAGAATACAATCAGTAGAACACATATGAAATAGAACACATAACAAACTAACGTCTTGATTAGAAAGGGTAACAAGATGCACAATGCAGGATCAGAAGACAATGTCCCAGCAAAATGTGTGACTTTGATTAAAGAAAACATATAAAACCAAAATGCAAAGGCGTAATAATAACCAGAATACATATATACTTGTAACGTGTAAGAATATACATTCAGAATTAGACTTGGGGTGCTGCATTGAGAATTAGACTACTAAGAAAACACATAATTCTTTATCTATTTCTTATTTTCTGAAAGAAAAGAAAAGAAAAAAAAAAGAATCTCTAAACCTAGCTTGTAATGGTAGAAAAGAGCATTTTCGATAGGAAAAACTCCAGAAGTACCCTAAAATTCAAATAAATATATCTTTCCGAGTCGAGTCCCAACTAACCTCTTGCTATTAAATTCTTTTTGCCCGTGTAATCAATTGAAGTAAAGGATTTAACCATAACTACTAATAGCAAGAAAATTTATATTCCTTAAATTTCATTCCAACACACTCATTTCAATTAT